CACGCAGGAGAGTTGTAACTGATGAGTGAAATCCTCTTTACATGGCAAAACCAGGCCAGCAGAAGTATTATGTAATAATGTGCTTTTAATCTCTGTAGAGCCTTTGAATGTCTTCTGTTCTGGTCTGAAACGAGTGAGTTTCAACTAACCCTGAAGGAATCACTTTAAATCGCTTTAACTGTTTTTTTTTTCTCAATGAATAACCGTTCTTAGCCCCTTTTATATAAACAGACCGTAGCCTATCTCCAGCGCCATGCTTTCATACTGTTTCTGTTTAAGGTACGGTGACTGTGCAGGGGTGAGCCCGAGCTGACTGGTGTAAAAACTGCTCAGGGCCTAACTTGCTTGTGCGTCTGTGTTGCAGGGACACATCAGGACAGGGCCGGTTCTGCACCATCTTCAGGTCCTACTCCCGGGGGGCGCAGGTACGTTCTGTAGGCAGCTGGGCAGAGCGTTCCCGTTTAGGAATTAAGGATTTTCATTGTCTCGCAAAGAACCAGGCTTGAAGCCCAGTATTGTGGAAACTTGAACAGCTGCCACTTCAGTCAAATATTTTTTTTTCCTGTTTTAAATGTGCTTGAGTCAGCTTTTTCAGAGCTCTCCTCAAAGTTTGATTTGTTCTGTGCTAGTCCCCCAGCTCTGAGGCACGTCTTCCTTAATTATTCATTTATTATTGAACAATAGTTCCTCTTTAAAGCCACCTAAAGAAAGAGCATGTCATTTGTGTAGCCCCAAACATGGCACATTGCTGTGAAAACAAACCACAGGCACAGGCCCATCGAGAGAGCATGAAAGGTAGAACTTTAAGCTCGCAGCTAAAAAAATAACCCCTGAAGTGATTAAGGTGGCTTATGTAGAAGCAGGTAAATGATTAATTGTTTTTCAGGAACAGGCTAAAATGTAATTGTGTACTGTACAGGAGCACAGCGAGAGGAATGCTTTTATGCAGACTGCAGTCTGGTGTGATTAGCCATCCCTGGTGCATCAAGTGAAGGCAGTCGAGTTCAGCAGTAGGTGGTTTCAGTGATGTAGCGATTCACCGTGTGCACTGTGCTCCCCTTCCACAGGGCATCCTGCTAGTGTATGACATCACCAACCGCTGGTCCTTCGACGGCATCGACCGCTGGATCCGGGAAATCGACGAGGTAAGAGCCTCTGATTTAGACCAGGGTCTGGCTTTTTCTGAACTTGGTTTGTAATCTGTTCAAACTTGGGATGTGAAAGCACACGTGACATCGATGCCCTGCCCTGATAGAAGGTTCTTCTCGACAGATCCGTCTCGCAGAGGCGGACTGTATTCTTACTCAGTTCCTTTATTGTCCCAGATGGGAGCTTTGCTCTGCAGGAAGGGTACATAGACATAACACCATACATAATACATTGAACGCAACACGAACCCATTAACATACATCCATAACATACATCCATAAGATGAGAAAAAACAAGTCACCAGCTTTCATAATGTATTAATTATAACGAATTAATAATAGATGTTTGCTGCAGGCTTCCTTGCTTCCACTCACTATCCGCAAATCCCCCGTCCTGACCTGCACAGGGCTGACTGTTCTGCTTCAGTGCTTCAGTATTTCGCACAGCTGAGAACCAGACTTCATAACTTTACCTCGAATCTCCCTGTGGTTCAATTTTGCATCTTACATTGGCTTTAAAATGGAGCGCATCGCTCTTTTTTTATTTTACTCTTGCTAAGAAGCCCAGAGGGCTGAAGTCCTGGGCTTGGTTTATCCTCGCTCCAGTCCGTTTCCTCCGTTTCCTGCCTGCCTGGAGCCCTGCTCTGTGGACGGAGCCTTTCCGGTTCCCCTTGAGGATGTCCTGTGGAGGCAGGGGGCGTGTGCGTGTTATCTCGGACCTCAGCCTGACACGACCCACACTTCTCCTTCCTGCTCCACCTCGCCGGCTCTCGGCATTCCAGCGGGGCGCGGGACAGGAGAATCTGGGGGGCCTGCTGTCGGAGCCAGCTCTGCTCGGCCCTTCCTCCTGACCCACGTTCCTGCTGCCCACAATGCCCCGGCGCTGCTGGCTGCACTTTAATATAGGAGAGCGCTCTTGAGCTTCTCAAACATCTGCAAGCAATAGAGCAAATTGGGGCTGTGGTTAAAAGATCCGATGTATTCAGCTGATCTTTGATGCGTGACTGATTGGTTAGTCCTTGCGTAGCACAGGAGGGCTGCCATGTGAAGGAGGTGAAAGCTGCAGCATTCTGGGTAATGTTTGGCGTGAGTAGCCCCACAGCTGGTGGAAGAGTAAACCGGTGATGGAGGAAAGCACCCAGAAACTGTCCTAACATCCACGTTAACCCTGGAGCAGTGATTTAATGTTGTCCAGGCTAGGATTGTTTTACTGGTGTGGAGTAGTGTCCGTCCTGACCTCGCTTCTCGAACCCCTGCGCTCCCCCCTGTGCAGCACGCTCCTGGGGTGCCCCGGATCCTGGTGGGGAACCGGCTACACCTAGCATTCAAGAGGCAGGTGCCCACGGAGCAGGCGCGCGCCTACGCCGAGAAGAACGGCATGACCTTCTTTGAGGTCAGCCCGCTCTGCAACTTCAACGTCATCGAGTCCTTCACCGAGCTGTCCCGCATCGTCCTCATGAGGCACGGCATGGAGAAGTTCTGGAGGCCCAACAGAGGTAGGAGCGCGGCCGTGCGCCTGCGCAGAACCGAGAGAGAGAGGTCACCCCCGCTGGTGCCGGAGCTCAGTCTCCGGGTGCTGGGTAAACAGCGATCGTCTCAGTCAGCAAAACTCCCCGTCGTCTTCCAGTAACCACATTCTGCTGCATCCAAACCAGAAACATTTAATTAGAGACGGCAAGCCTTTGGATATTCCTTCTTTAAACCACCAAATTAAATTTTCCCATGAATGTTTCTAATGCGCTGCCTTTTAGCTGGTCGGCCTTTCCGAGTCCCATTAGGCAGCAGTAGTAATATTCCTTTGGCAGTATCTGAGTGGTGTTATTGTATTTCCCAGAATGGTTGAGGTTATTTTTTATTACTGAAGTTTCCAGCTAAGCATAATTACAAAATTTAAGAGCAGAAGCTAACTTGTAAGCGTTTGAAATATTCATGAACATTAGACCTGGTTCTTCACAGTCCAAATTAAAAACATTTTATGTGATCTAAAAACAGGTCATCTTTATACAGCCATTGGTATCTGGTTTCATGTAAGTGCTAAACTGAACTTTTCCAGATTCTGTCTGCGCTGTTACACTGTTTAACATATCATCAAGTCCTTTGTGTTGGGACTGTATACTGATTTTTCTCTGTGGAGGCAGGGTCCATTTGCTTCATGGTGAGATTTACATAGTACAAACAGAGTAGATGTCTCGGCAGTAGCCACAAATGTAGTTTAACAAGAGCTGAAACTGAAATAAATGAATATAACTTTCTGTGTCCTAAGATGCTAACGTCATTTAGATTTAGTAGGGGAAACGAGGCCTGGAGTGCATGAATCTTACGACATATCAAAGCGATCCAGGTCTGCCCTCTAGCGGGGCTACGTGGAATTACAGCTGCGCTGCGATGCTGAAGTACTCTGTTATTCCGTAACAGAGGAGGATTTTAAAAGCGAGCAGCTTAGAGCCGCGCTTTGTTGACAGGAGGTGTGTTTGTCTCCACTCTGCAGTGTTCAGCCTGCAGGACCTGTGCTGTCGAGCCATCGTATCTTGCACTCCGGTGCACCTGATTGACAAGCTGCCCCTGCCTGTTGCCATCAAGAGCCACCTGAAGTCCTTCTCCATGGCCAACGGGATGAACGCGGTCATGATGCACGGCCGCTCATACTCGCTGGCCAACGCTGCGGGCGGCAGCAAGGGGAACAGCCTGAAGCGCTCCAAATCCATCCGGCCCCCCCAGAGCCCCCCGCAGAACTGTGCCAGGAACAACTGCAAGATCTCTTAGCACGGGGGCCGAGGCCAGCGAGCTCGGGACCACCGGCAAGCCACAGGCTCCCACCCCCCGCCCCCCCCCCCCCCCCCCCCCCCCCCAAGCTGTCCTGCTGCTGAAATCCTGCAAGGACGGACTCAGCGGAGAAGACGGGCTGGGTCTCTCCTGCTGCTGGTGCAGCCATCACCCGGCACCATCTCTGCTGCTGTCCGTCTTGTTCAGCCTTTCGCCTACTGCTTGCGGAGAGTTCCTCACTCTTTCTTCACACATGGGACATGGAGTGAAGTGTCTGTTTGTTTTTTTAACACACACACACACATATATGTATTATTTAACAGAAAAAAATTGAAGACCCAGAGAAAGAGACCTTTTTTTGTAATGTAAAGTTTTGCACTGAAATTTGTATGCTGTTTTTGCAGTGTTCGAAAGGGACACAGTGTAGTTCTGGGGGGTGGCAGCACCAGGAAACTCGAATATCTGCCCTTCTGTCGCCCGTTGGAGTGTGGCAGTCTTGCCAGCCCCTAAAAAAAAGCAGAGAGGTCTGATAATATGATGGGAAGTACGGATTTCCATTTTCTCCCCCATTTTCTTTCCGTTTTTTTAAGACCTAACTCCACAGACTGTGAAACGCCATATGGGTGCTGCTGCAAAAAAAGGTGAAATTCTGTTGCTAGCATGTTCCCTGCTTGCCTTGTGATCCTTTCTTTCTTGCCAGGTGCTCTCTGCACAGTCTCTACTGTGTTCTATCTTTTGGTTCAGTAACAAGTGCACCAAAGATGTGTCTTTCCAGGGTAGAGATGTGACAGCGTGCGTGAAGCCAACGAAATTGGGAGTTGTGAGTTTTTTCTACCTTACACTAAATGGTAGGTGCATTGAACCACCATTTAGTCTAATTTAATCTGATCTTTTTTTTTAAAGAAGTTTCCGTTTTTTCAGACTTTTATTTATTTTTTAAAGCCTGATCTGTAATTGTATTTAACCAGACTTAAAAATGATACGCAGGATGTTTGTGTCCAAAAGTCTGTCATTTGAACCGGCCCCATGTACATTCAGTCCCTACCGAACCCGAGTCCAGAGTCCTTCAGCAGACCGGCTTTGCTAGCTCGTCTCCTCCGTGTTGTGGTGCTTGCCCTGATTGTAGATGAAAGATGGCTTTCACACAGAAAAACAAAACTCAGTTTTTGCCTTTTGGATAAATGCTGGCTGACTCATCACTACATTTCTTGCCGTCTAGGTGACTTCTTAATCCATATATCAGTTGAAAAAGGAAAAAAAAAAAACACTTGCTATAATTTCTATGGCTGCAGCACTTCTGTGGGGAAGCGCGTTTTGGTGGTCGGGGGAGATGTTTTCTCGCGAGACCCACCCCTATTCGGGTTCTGTCCGCTTTCCATGTACGCTGCAGTTGCAGGAAGGCCTTTTAATCCTCCCGTGGGGCACCAAAGACCTCCTCATTTCAAAGTTCCGCATTTTGCAGAGAAGCGCCTCAGCAGTTCAGTAGGATTTGTTCAACATGCCTTAGCAATCCTCTGTTTTTCTTCCTTTTGACAATCTGAGGGCTGAATCGGTCTCGGCTGCTGAGGCCAAAGACTAACTCAAACCTTTAGTGTGGAGTTCTGCACCAGTGGCCCTGTAAGCTGGTTCTCTTTCCGCTGGGGAGATCTGCAACTCCTGCTCGCCTCGGGTTCATTTCTAAAGCTCCTCTGCTTTTTTTTTTTTTTGCACCGCCACCACCCGCATGTGCCCAAAGACCGCTGCTTAGCACACCTGAGGAAGAGCCCATAATCTCTTCCGCTCCCTCAGCAGTTACTTGTGTTGCATGAAAGACCTGAACCAGACTTGAACCGCTGTGCGCTGAAATGTGACTTTTATTGGATCCCCAGCCACACATTCTAAGCTTTGTGTTCCAATGACGTTGTGTGTATTTTTTTTTCTTTAAAAATAATCGTTAACATTGCAGATGAAGGTTGGGGTACATTATTTTTAATAAATGCAAGGCCCTTTTTCTGGGGGGGGACAAAACAAGCTAATGGTGTGCCTGGGGGGGTAGAAATTGCCAAAATGGAAAACTTGGCCAAGGATGTAGAGAGGGTAGGAATCCGTCTGGTCTGTAGAAAAAGCACAACTTGGTAAGAAGTTAAATTCATTGGAATTTGTTTTATAAGCATTTGCAGTGTTTCGATAACACTTGTTTCACTTGCAGTGCTGAAATCGTTTCCGACAGTGCGTTGTCTCGGTTCTTTCCAGCAGTACTTGCTTTCTCCGGGAGCCCTGTTTGCACAGAGAGTGCAGTCGGGCCCCTCCCCCCGCCTTCAGGGACCGGCCACGGCCTCCTTGAGCCCAGCCCAGCCCAGCACATGAAGCCCACCCTTGAGTAGGCTGAGAGTTGGGTTGCTCTTGAAGGCTCGGCTAGTGACAAGATGACAGTGCATCCTATCGACACGGTGGTGTGCAGGGGCTCGATTAGTTGCATGAAAGAATTAGAACTGTAAGTGCACAGCGGTCTGTGCAGACTCGAGATGCCCTGCACCCTGGAAAATAGGATAGGATTGTGCAGCTCTGAACGACATCTTTGCATCTTGACTGACTAGTCTCCTGAGCACACGAAACCTGTCCTTGTCATTGCCTTGCATTGCTTCCATTTAGAAAACTAGTTCTTATGTGGAATAGTGGTGCTCGACAGTCTGCGTACACTGAAGTGTAAAGAGAGTGCAGAGCAGTCGGGAAGGAGTGGCCCTCTTTATATTCAAAGGCTTTGCCTGTTGCAGTGTTTAGACGGGAGTAGTTGCTAATCCAGTTTTTTTTCTTCTTCCTCGAGTCGTAAAATACCTTCAAGGAGAACGAGGCGATGCAGCCCACCCGTTGCAGAACTTAAACTGTTCAGTTTATACGGAGAGAAAATTGACCGTGACCGTGTTCGTTTGCGATTTTCACTTCATTCCCTTTCTGCGGCACATCCCTGTTTGCTTGTTATTATATTGAAATGTTTTTATCTCTTTGAGTTGTGGATTTCTATGTTAAAGGGAATATTTTGTAGGGGGTCACTTATGCAGTGTGTAGACATAATCAAGCAGTATGTACACATTCCTTCTGGGAGGGAAGCTGTAGCTAATATTGGAGTACAGCTGGTCCAGGTTCGTCTTTACTTCCCTTCCTTGGGTGGATAAAGGGAAACAGTTATTGTTATTATTAAAAGTGAAACACTATTTTTCCTTTGGTTTAAGCTGCTGGGTTAACTTTGAGAAATGCTTTTTTGCGAGTATTCTCAATATAAACAAACCCTTTTTTTTAAATTATTGATTGTACAGTTATTACAGTATAAAAAGTGAGACCTTTTTTCACAATAAAATCGTTAACAGTACAGTCCTTTGGTTCTTTGCTTGTGTTGTCTGAAGAGTGTCGTTCTTGCCATCCTGGGGCGAAAGCAGGTTGAAGCCTTTGTCCTTCCTGTACAGAGGCTCACCGGTGTTTCTACTTCAGTTCCAGCGCAGCGTGAGTCTAAAAGACAAATGAGGAGTAATTATCGCATCCTGTAAAGACGAAAGTAGTGTAATCTAAAACAATGAACACTGAGGCTTATTCAGTTTCTTGCAATACTATACCAATTCATACTAAGGTCATACATTTGTGATACACAAATGACTGTCAAGCAAAAATAAGTTTGGACCTCACTGTCCCTATTGTTTTGGAAGAAACGGTGTAGATGTTTTAGTACACTTGCATCCTAGCCTCTTAAAGTCTGCGTTCTCGGGACTGTGCCATGGGATTTGATCGTCCTGTCCACTTGGGTGGTTTCTCTCGCTCAGTTACCCCAGTCTGAGAGCTGCACCCCCCAGTGCAATAAAGCAAAGGGCGGTGAGGGCGTTAGTCTGTGGTCTCCCAGAGTCCTGTGCTCCTGGCTGTTGAGTCAAGTAATCGCCCCCCCCGCCACGCTTCTGAAAGCAAAGGTCAAGAGTCACGTGGGGGGTCAAGGGGTCAGCTTGGATCAAAAGGGAAGGGGAGAACTTCTCAGGGTCTGGGTGGCCCCTCCTCTTGTAGAGCAGCGGGGTGCGGGGGGGTCCTCGCCACCCGCCTCAGGCATCTCGCGGCCGTGTGTGAATGAGCGTTGAGGGCAGACGTCCCCCCCCCTCCAGTCTAGACCGGGCCAGGAGCAGGGGGGTTGTGGGGGCAGTTGGGAAAACGCAGCGTTTGCACAGCCAAGCCAGTCCCAGTATTTCTTTTAAAATCCATCGGCCACACCCCTCCTTTTCCCTGCTGTCCTGGAGGTGCCGGGGGAAGAAGAGGCTTTTTCGGAGGAACCTCAGCTTGGAAAAGAGGGAGATCAACGTGGGTTTTACATCGGGACAGGCCAAGGACAAATGTATCACTGCCTTTATTTGCAGCTAGGGGGCGCGCTGGGTTAGTACATTCCCCTGAAGGACCACATCACAAAATACTCCACCTTGGTATTTAGGCTTGGTGTCCCCCCCACAAATACACACTCGGTGAAGCGTTGCCTATCCAGTGTGAGGCGCTGCACGGTTCCCAAGACCTCAGTGCAGGCAAGGGGGGGGGAGAAGGGAGGGAGCGATTCCCACCGGGACGAGCGGCCGTGCGTGGGGTTGTGGGTCAGGGCGGCTGTGGGCCCCGACGCCCTGCCTTTGATCCCTTTACAATGTTTGTCCAGTTGCTTAGCGCTGGCCTCGCCTCTAATAAAACTCCCAGACGCTGGACGCTTGAAGAGAGAGGCCAAGAGGTAGGCCCCTTCTGTCTCAGCACGGCGCACAGGCCGCCGGACTCGCTGGTCCCCCAAACTCGGGCTCAGTCCGCGTCGTCCAGCTCGGAAAGGCGACGTCCAAGCCTTGCAGGGAACGTGGCGCTCAATTTATTTTGCATTTCCGAGAGACTGATTCTCGAACGCTTTAACGAAACACCCTTTTTAAACCGCTCATCTATATGAATGCAAAATACAACTCTCAAGTTAACCATGCTGCCTGGACTCGGTGACACGGATTAATACACGTGCCGCCGCCTGATCTTCTACACCCCGGTGATAACAAGGAATTGAAATACCAATCCTGACTTTTCTGGCTGTATTTTCATTCTCCTTCGTAACCTGCGGTCTGGATATGGATCGGATGATTTAATTCTAACGACGTCCCACACTTTCAAGACGGGTGGGAGTTATGACTTCAGTCGGGAGCTGCGCTCCAGGTTGCTCCTTTGCAAGAGGTTTATAATGAGCAGGACCGACCACAGCCGGAGGGAAACCAGATCCCGAACCAGCGCCTGCGAGCGCCGGAGTGATGCCGGAGGATGCGTCCCGCGCCTGGGGAAACTCGCCCCGTCGTTTCCCCTGCTCTGGGCTCTTGCTTGCGCGCTGTCCCCGCCGGTGTCGGGGGCGAGTCTCGCCGGGGGCCAGACCCAACACCCGGGAGTCTGTCCCAACCAGCTCAACGCCAACCTCTGGGTGGACGCGCAGAGCACCTGCGAGAGGGAGTGTCGCGTCGACCAGGTGAGTCCTCCTGTTCCGCCTTGGGGCCTTGCGCTTAGCGTGTGAGGGAAGACGCCTCTCTGTGAATAATGATCTTAAACCACGACAAAATTGTGTTGCCCACTCGCACACACACACACAAAAAAAGTTTTGCTTCCAGTTTCACGTGGCCATCTAGCACGGCTCTTGTTTTGTGTGAGAAAGTTTATAAACAATTATACAGTGTAGCCGGAATTCGCGTTAAAATGTACGCATTGTTTTGCAAGGTCGAATTAAGTTCCAGACTACACAGAGAATGAAAAAGAGTGCCCATCTTTGTTCTTTAATTTGCCCTGCCGTTTTTATTGGGGGCCCCACGGAAAACTAGTCTGGCTGGCTCCTGCTTTTATCGCCTACGTAGCTGCGGTGGGGCTTGGTCTGTGTCTCCCGGATAAGGTGGGGAGCTCCACGGACCCGACCCGAAGCAGGAGGGGGTCGTGAGACGGCGCTTCCACGGCGTTAGGCGAACCGAAGAGTGAAACTGCGGGCAGCAACGTGAGATGTGGAAGCGGAGCAGAGGGGTTGCGGCCACACAGTGACTCTGCTGTCTCCCTCCTCCCGCAGGACTGCGCAGGATTTGAGAAGTGCTGCACCAACGTGTGCGGGCTGCGCAGCTGCGTGGCGGCGCGGTTCTCCGACGGCTCGGCCGCGCCGTCGGATGGGCAGGGGCCGAGGGAGAGCGGCGGGGGCGTGACCGCCAGCTGCCAGGGCTTCGTGTGCAGCCAGCAGGGGGCGACGTGCGACGTGTGGGAGGGCCAGCCGGTGTGCAAGTGCCGCGACCGCTGCGAGAAGGAGCCCAGCTTCACCTGCGCCTCCGACGGCCTCACCTACTTCAACCGCTGCTACATGGACGCCGAGGCCTGCATCCGGGGGGTCGCCCTGACGGTGGTCACCTGCCGCTACCACCTGGCCTGGCCGCACACCAGCCCCCTGCCCCTGGACACCACCGCGCACCCCACCCCCACCTCCTCGCGGGAGGAGCCCCTGCCCCCCACCCTGTACAGCAACCCGAGCCACCAGTCCGTCTACCTGGGGGGCACCGTCAGCTTCCACTGCGACGTGGTGGGGGTCCCCAGGCCCGACATCACCTGGGAGAAGCAGACCGAGCGCCGCGAGAGCCTGATCATGCGGCCCGACCAGATGTACGGCAACCTGGTCATCACCAACATCGGCCAGCTGGTCATCTACAACGCCCGGCCCGGGGACACGGGCATCTACACCTGCACCGCCCGCAACTCGGCCGGCATCCTGCGCGCCGACTACCCGCTGTCGGTCATCCGGCGCGCCGAGGACGAGCTGGCGGAGGAGGGCGAGCCCGCGCCCCGGCCCTTCTCCCCCGCCGACTGCCTGGAGGAGGCGGACCGCCGAGAGTGCGGGGACCGCCGGGTGGGCTGGCGCTACGACGCCAAGCGCGGCTCCTGCCTGGCGCTCGCCCACGGCGGCTGCGAGGGCGCCCGCAACCGCTTCGAGACCTACGAGGAGTGCCGCGCCTCCTGCCAGCGCGAGGGCGTGGGCGTCTGCTCCCTGCCCGCCGTGCAGGGGCCCTGCAAGGTCTGGGAGGCGCGCTGGGCCTACAACCCGCTCATGAAGCAGTGCCAGGCCTTCGCCTACGGGGGCTGCCAGGGCAACGGCAACAGCTTCCGCAGCCGGGAGGAGTGCGAGGAGAGCTGCCCCCAGCCCAAGAGCCGGCCCTGCAGGGCCTGCAAGCCCAAGGGCAAGATGGTGCCCAGTCTGTGCCGCAGCGACTTCGCCGTCGTGGGCCGGCTGACGGAGCTGATCGAGGAGCTGGACTCGGGCATCGCCCGCTTCAGCCTGGAGGAGGTCCTGCGGGACGAGAAGATGGGCCTGGCCTTCTTCGACGCGCGCCACCTGGAGGTCACGCTGGCCCGGGTGGACTGGAGCTGCCCCTGCCCCAACGTCACCCTGGAGGACGGGCCCCTGCTGGTCATGGGCGAGGTGCAGGACGGCATGGCCCTGCTGCAGCCCGACAGCTACGTCCGGCCGGTCACCGAGCGGCGACTGAAGAAGATCCGCGAGGTCCTGGAGAAGAGGACCTGCGAGCTGCTCCAGCGCTTCCAGGACTAGGGGAAGCAGCCGAAGGGCTCAGCTGGCAGTCATTTTCCAGGCTGTTTAAGGACTGGCGGGTCACGGGCTGTTTGTTCAAGGATAATCCTACTAAAAAAAGACACTGCTGAGCTGTTTCAGCACATCTGCAGAGGTGCAACGAGCTCGGTGTCTTTCTCTGAAGGCTTCTCAGCAGCGGGACAGTGGTGCCAACTAAAACCTCGGAGTGCTGAGGAAGGTTCTGCTTCAAAGGCCTCATACGAGTCTTCTCCATGTCCTCCGAGACTAGGTTTAGGAAACCGTTTGTTCTCACTAGCACAGAACAGTGTCATGAGACGTTATAGCTAATGTTTCTGCTGCAAGAATTCTGTCCACAACCAATCCAATTGGGGCTGAGCTGATGGACGTGTCGATATACAGGTTGGATCTGTACAGTCGACCCCACTTTCTCTCCTGCCTCGGCTGCTAGTGTGGTCCCCAATGCTTGTTCTTGTGAACTTTGCAAAGATCAGAGCGCACTGGTATTCCCAGTTTAAGCTTCAAACTACAGGAAGATCAGCACCTTCCATTTGCCATTCTAGGTGATAGAGTGAAAGTTTTAGATGTTCAGTTTTACCCAAATCACTCAGACTGAAAACGAGAGCAGGTAAACCACTGTACGGAGTGCTTTCCTGCATCTGACCTGTGTTTTTAAATAAGATGTGTGATGCACACATATGACTGCTCAAATAAAGGAATGGATATTTTGAGACTTAGAGCACAAAGTGTTTTATTCTTGGATCCTTCTCTGTAGCTGTGTACATCTTAACAGCTCCTCAGTGTTGTACATTACTGCTTATGGTTCAAATGGTACATTTTAGGAGGAGGTTTTGTTTGTAGACGACTGTACGTTTCGAAGGTACTGTGAACAGTGACCATGTTAGTTGCTCCACTCCTTCATATCAACGAAGAGCAGTTAGCGAAAGGCTGGCAGGTAAGGACTCGATGTCGATTGGTGTTGCAGCCTCTAGGTGGCGCTGTAGCTGGGCGCAGCGAAGCTCAGCCCGGCCTCTACACAACGCTCTCTTTACGGAACAGGAGGCACTTGTTGTTGGCCGGCATGTCCACCTGAAAAAAAACAACAGGGGGGGAAGAAAGAAAGAAAGAGTGGTATTGTCCCCGTTCCCCTCCGTGCGCAAATCGTCCCGCTCGGTTTCCTCTAGCTGACCGCGCGTCTCGCTCACCACTTTCGCCAGGAACATGCCGTTCTGCTCGGCCAGCGCGGTCAGCAGGGAGGTGTCCCTCAGGCCCCAGTCCGGATTCCTGCCGGCCAACACGGCACAGAGCTGTCACTCGCAGGCGGGGCCCGGTGTCTGGTCGGGTCCGGGCGCTCGCGGGGCCGGCCCGGCGGGACTTACCTCATCTTCAAGCTGTGGTCGAAGTCCACGTTGCTCTGCGGGGTGATCAGGCCATTCACAGAGTAGGGCTGCAGGGAAGAGCGGACAGGACAGTTAACTGTGGCTGCACGTCCGTTCTTCTCAAATCAGGATTAACAGACCCTTGTCCACAACTTGTTTTTTTGCTTTTTCCTTCACTATAGTCAATCCAGAAAGCAGGGTGTTAAACTGTAATAGAGCTGCTGTAGGTGGTTCGGGGCTTAAGTCTTCACACCTGGGCCTTTTGCTCATACGGTGAGCAGGCGTGATGTCCGTGTGTAGCAGCAGAAGCAAAATGTTGAAAAGACGCAGAGTGTCGCGCAGAAATTCACAACCTGGAACGCGGGCTGTTTGCCCATCACCGCAACAGCAATTGGATTCTCATTCCAAAATAGTGTCCTGTCCGCACAAGTAATAATAATAATAATAATAATAATAATAAACTTTATTTTATATAGCGCCTTTAAAGGTGGCTTCTCAAAGCGCTTTACAGGATGACAATAACAATAAATAAGAAGACTACAACAATAAATAAGAAAATTTCACAAGACAGGACACAATTATAATTACAACAATACAACAATAACAATAGAGGAGACCGTGGAAGATGGTATTAAGAAGAGCAGAGGGGTGAAGAATGGAACCAGTTAAGTAAAGGCTTTTCTGAAAAGGAGGGTTTTGAGTCTGGATTTGAAGGAGTTTAGAGAAGGTGACAGTAGAGAAGTACTGTCGTCTGCCAGCGACCCAGAGAAATCGCCGACACACACGCGCACTCTCTCCAGAATCCTTACCCCATACGTCAGGAGTAATCCTTGAGGTTTCAGGAGCTTCCCTGACGCTTTAAACAAACCCTGCAGAGGAACAGGAAAGTGGGGGTACAGCTTAGCTTCCATGAAGGCGTTCATTCTGCAAACCTGGTTCTTTACCTCCAGGATCAAAGTGTCGAGCTGTCAGTGCAGCGCTCACTCCAGAAATATCAGATCGATGGCTGTCACAGTCTTACCAGCAGTGATGTACTGATTTGTTAATTAAGCAGAAGAAGCCGGCGTGAGGTGTGTGTGTGTGTGTGTGTGTGTTTCACCTCAGTGCAGGCCAGGGGAGAGATGTGCATCATGTTGATGTTCACTATGAGGTGGAGGGACTCGGGCTGGATCCCACCCCAGCTCTCCCAGCTCTGGGATGCATCCAGGCGAATGGGAGGCTCGACATTTTCCAGTTTCAGCAGCTCCCTGTAGGCTGCTATACTGCGAGAGAGAAAACGGCACATCAGCTTATTCACCGGTAAGTCGGGCAGATGTAAATCTTTACTTTAGAACGTAGTTGGTATCAGTTAAATGAGCCAAGAATCTCATCCAGCTGTTTCTTGAAAGAAGACATCGTACTGGCTTCAACAGCATGGGTGAGTAGCTTATTCCACACTCCCACAGCTCGCTGTGTAAAGTTGTCCTGTTCTTGCAGTTGACTAGAACAGTTGACAGTTGACCTAGTTTCCCCCCATGTGTCTCCTGCTTGTGCTGTACTGTTGATTCTGAACAGGTCTGCTGGGTTGATTCTGTCAGTGCCTTTTGACGATTCTGCACACTTGAATCACTTGTTTGAATTAATTTGGAATATTTTTATTCAAGATGGGGCAGCACATCGGTGCAGAGGCTGGCTTTACTGCCTCACAGTGCTGAGATCCTGGGGTCAATTCTGGATGGAGTTTGTGTGGGTTTCCTCCAGGTGCTCCAGGTTTCTCCCACACTCCAAAGACAAACTGGTAGGTTAACTGGCTTCTGGGAATATTGTTGTGAGTCTGTGTGTGCCCTGTGATGGACTGGTGTCCTGTCCAGGGTGTGTATCCTGCCTTGTGCCCGTTGCTTGCTAGGACAGCCTGCAGCTCTCCCCTGACCCTTAATTGGATGAAAGGGTTAGAAAACAGGTGGATGGCTAATTCAAGGTGGAATCCAGATGAATACAGAGATTCATGTTTGTTGCAGATCAGGCCAAGCTAAAACAATACAAAACAATTTGTGTTTTAAATACAATCACATTCTTTATTCGAGCTTTTGGAAAATATTAACTGCTTCAGCGCTGAATGTTATTCTTTACTGTTACGAGTCAGAGGTTATGCAGCACTTGCCGTGTGAATGCACTGCTGCCTTTTTTAAAATCTTATTCTAGTTTTTAAAATGGTAACAAAACATAAAAATAACGAAACGAAATGTCAGCTACCGCAGATACACTAAACCAGTACAGGGCAAGGCTGGAGAGAGAAAACGTGTTTAAAAAAAAAGTAGAATAAATTAGCAGGCAGTTGAAAAGAGAATACAGGCTGGACAGGGTACTATTCCATCACGGGGCAGACACAGACTCACACCAGGGCTAATATTTTTCCAGAAGCCAATTAACCTACCAGTATGTCTTTGAACTGTTTGAGGAAACCGGAGCTAACGGCAGAAACCCACACGAGCACGGGTAGAACCTGCCAACTCCACACGGACAGCACCGACAGGTTCAGAACCGAACCCAGTGCCCCAGCGCTGCGAGGCAGCAATGCTTGACCTCTGCGCCACCGTGAGACCCAGGGCAACAGCGGCTGCGCTCACCTGTCCAGCGATCTCTGGTCGATGTCTGACGGCTGCCAGGTGATATGGGGCAGAGCCTGGGCGAAATGCACGACGTGCTGCCCGGAGCCCGAAGACACCTCCAGTGCCCGGAGCGCTCTGCTGGGGTCCACACAGCCCCGCAGCACACGGAGGATCGGCTCCTTGTTCCTGTCCGCCGCGGCGGCGCACAGCATCCTCGGATCGGCGGCCGCTGCTCGCCCAGCTCCTCAGGGACAGGGAAAGAGCAGCTGCGAATGCTGCTGTTGGTCAGTGCTGTGAAGCACTGCACCTAGGCTGAAAGCAGAAGGCTGGAACTAGTTCAACTGCCGTAACTTACTGTGTGTCACTATAATGACACACACCGAAGGCCATCGAGACGTGCAGTTCCAGAGCAGTGCGTCATACCCCCGCAAGAGCGTCAAGCCGCGGTGGCTGCCGGGATTTGTAGTTTTCCGCGTAAAATTCAGGTAATCCCTAACGCTGCAAAACGAAATTGTTTCATAACAACAAAACAGTTTTAGAAAAGATGATTATGTTAGCAACTTACGTTTACTATTAGATATTTGAAGATGTGAGTTGCTAGTTCACCATTTAATGATTTTGTAGTGATGTCTGTGTTTGAAGTCTATTTCCGAATGCAGTAATCAGTGGAGCTCTATTAAGCACACGTTCTTGCCTTTTCAACCACCAAATGCCGATTCAAATACTGTAATCGCTATCATAAATACTGTAATGAAAGCATTGTTTATCTCAGACTTGTTGGTAAGGCCTGCAAAACACTTTCCCAACAGCAAAATAGAGCTTGTCGAACACCAGATACATGGAAAATCCACATTCAGAAAAAAAAGTTTTATTTTTTCAACTCCATCAGTATCAAACCAAACAAAGCTCTCAACTTAGATCTTTATCTAAATACATCAATAAATAAGTGGGGAAACATTTTTTTTTGCTGTAGTTCAAATATAATCGGCAGGATGGTTCATATTTCCCTGCAGAACAATCTCACACGCACGTTGCGACCCCTAGTGTCTGAGGAGGTGGAGACAGGGGCGTCAGCAGACAGCGCAGTGGGCTGGGAGTGTCGCTCCAGCCAGCTGGAGAAGAGACCACGGGCGTCTCGGATTCGGAAAGTGCTTTTTGACAGAGGAGGCCCCACCCCAGCAACACGGCTGATCGCTATGTAAGTAAGTCTGTTAATCATTGATGCTACCACACTAGCTAGACTTTTCTCTAAGTGCTGACAGGACAGTAAACACATTGTAGACTGGAATCAACCCAGGAAGCACAGCCCAGCTGTCCTTTAGGAGCAGAGACAGGGGGTTATTTCCCTCAGTACCCCTCCTCATCCTCCTCTTCCTCTGCCTGCCGCCGGGCAATCATGGCCTGTATCAGTGCACTGGAGAGGGCCGGCGCTGTGCCCTCTGCCCTGGGAGGCCGGTCGTCAGAGGCTGGCGGAGACAGGAGGCCCACAGCAGTGTTAAAGAAAGGATCACGCTGGAGTTTTAAGACCTTTGCAAAGAAATCTTCCTGTGGCGCTAGTATGGCAACAGTGAAACAAGCAGTCTGTGATTTCAGTTTTTTTTTTTTCCGTGGAGTATTTTCGCTTTTTTAACAGCCTCATGGAAGAGTACCCACCTGCATCATAATCTGGTTCAACCAGGTCAGGTCTGTCAAAGGTCTGAGAGAGAAAAGTCGGTTCATTTTGCTGCAAAAAAATAAAAAAGTAAGAAGGAGGAAAAGTTTTAAACTGTCTACAGGACAGTCAGATTACAGTTAAAAAATCAAATGAAAACACAGAATTACTTGTCCTTTTGTTGTTTATTATTCAACTGGGACACTATGTCCTGATTTGAAATGCTGATGAGGGGAATAGGGACCGGAGAGCCTAGGTAGGGTGGAGCCATGAAGAACCTGCACTCCAGGCAGCTCTGCTGGGCTGAGTCCCACCCTGTGATGGGCCTGGAGTCTCTGGTACAGATCCGGGCAGCAGCGTGTCTCTCGCTCCTGGTCCCGGGGCTAATCCTGGTGCTCTGCTTCTCCTGCTACCCCTGAGATCCAGGCTGGGGAGCACCACCCTGCCTCTGCTGCCTGACACCTGGCTCTGTGGAGTCTGCTCCCAGCACAGTACCCTGACTCTTTCTGGGTGTCCCTCGATCTGTCCCTGGCTGGGAACCCTGTCCCTGCTTGGCAGTCTTGGACCCTGCTGCAGTCTGTTCACTCTGGTGCTCCCTGGCTCTGTGATCTTCTGCTTCTGCACCTGCCCCTTGCCTGTTCCCACAGGCTCCCTCTCCTGGCTCTGCTCCCTGCCAGCCCAGGAGCGTCCTGCACCAGGCTCTTGCCTCTTGGCCCTGTCTGTGCCTCTGCCACGCTTCACCTGCAGGAGGAGAGTCATCTCTTTACCCCTCTCAGCTGACTGCCTCAAGTCTGAGGGGCAGGGACATCTATTCATTGACTTTCAATCTGAGTAAAAGCCACTATGCCTTACCAAACCTGTAGCTAGACTGTGCAGTATGTTGTCATCATTCAGCTAACGAAACCCCAGGTTCGTAGTGAACCAGTAAAAGACTCTTTTTCTGCACACAGACCTGCACTGCCCCTCTCTGTGGCTTGAGGACAGATGTCCTCCCCTGGGTCTGCAGGCCCTGCAGCTTCTTCAGCTTCTCCAGGAGGAATGTCTTGTCCTTTCCCTCCTGAGGAGCACAGAGGACAGAGGGAGTGCAGAGAGATGGGAGGGGGGGGATGTGTGTAGATATAGTGCATCAGTGGTGCAATAAGAAGAGAGTGGGACAAAGATGAAGAAACAATGAAATGTGTGTAATCAAATTTGAAATTTCCATTCATGTTCCACAGCTAGACCATGCCCAGACTCACATTAGCAATCTGCTCACGCAAGAGAAGAATGAGAATCTTGCGCCCCCGAACAATGTGCCAGTACAGGTATATCAGGACTCTGGAGAGGAGAGAGCATAGCAACAAGATCCCAGGTAAGCGTTCCTTCAATGTGTTTTTAAGTAATGTTGTAGGTGAGACAATAATTTCCTACATTTCTATACCACTCGATTAAACTTTTTCTAGAGATTACACCCACCAGACTATATCCTTACACATGTAATTTGCTAGGCTAATTAAACCACTCCCATCTACAGCTATAAATGAGGTTCTGCTGTCATCCTTAAATCGGTGTATTGCGGAGACACTGCTATTCCAAAATGTGACTTAAAGGGGAACTGCAGTCCCAATTTTTTCAGACGAGTTATTAAATCTTGGTAACAAAATAAATGCATTGACGTAATTTTTTTTTTCAAATTTTGAATGAAGCATGAAATCGTGAACTTTGTGAAAGTACTGTAAGTCGCCATGCTGTCCCAAACTGGCATTCTAGTCCCCATGAATTGTGACGTGAAACTGCCCGTTCTGCTCACTAGTCACTGTAGTGACTAATGCAATGTGAATATTTCTATTGGATTAAAAGAGATGTATTCACAAGCCTGCTTCTGTACAATGTAAAAGGGCCGCAACATCTTACTGGAGGTTTGGTCCCCTCGTTCTGAATTGCAGAACATGGCTCTACACATACCTGGAAATGTTGTCTATTTTGCGATGTAAATTGAGGTTTTACAAGTTACTGCGAACATTTTACTTTTATCGTGGTTTGAAATGCACTTATCGATGATGATTTTTTCTAACCCTGAAATATAAAAATCTTAAACTCTCGCTCTTGCTTAAGTAAAGCTCTGGGTCCACTGGCTGAGCTCTAAACTCTTTCGCCTGCCCTCCGTGACTCACAGCCCTGTCTCCAGATGGGTGGGAGTAAGAAAGCAGAGGTGCTCACAGGATGACGAGGCTGAGGAGGAGGAAGAAGAGCACGCTCTGAATGAGGTTGTTGTAAATCCACACTGCCCAGCGAGAGCCCGGGATCATGTCCACATTGCTCATCCACAGGGACACAGCCTCATACGGTGAGTGCAATCCCCGGAAAGGGCCACAGAGCGCAGAGGGTTTCCTCCTGAGGTCAAGAAATGCAGTAGTCAGACAGCACACATGGCACAGGGGGACGGGGGAAGGAGTGGACAGACAGGAGCTGTCCAGAGAACACAGCAGGCTGATACGAGCACAGAATCCATTCTTTTATTTAGCAGTTTACAATGAGGTTGCAAACAACCATAAATGCCAGCAGCCATATCGCCCTGCAACTCAGAACTGGCAGCCCACT